TCATTTTCAAGTCTGGAAAATTGTAATATCATTATTAGTTAACATTCAACAATTACAAAAATAATTTCTTATTACACTTAATTAACTTGTCTAACGATCTATGTCATATTATTTTCGATACACATAAATTTATCCAAATCTATACATAAAAGTACACACTTTTTCTTATAAAAAAAACCATACATGTACGTAACTTTAAACATTAAACCTTACATTAAAAACAATTGACTATTACCTTGATGAGTCCTCCGTTATATATTCATAGTTAATGTCACAATTAATATGTTCAGTGAACATTAATTTGTCATGCTCTATAGGGGTTTCACCTACGCCATTTCTGGAGGGACTGACTTATATCCTCCTGGTGGGGATAGTCAAAAGCAGAGGGGTTTTCCTTCTATTGTTTTGCATTGGTGGATTATTATATTATTATATGCGAATATTGTTAATTACATTTGCATAAAAGGTATTTATATTTGTATGGTTGTTAACGGAATTCTTTAAATTTTTAGTAATATATATAGATTTTATAATTTTTCTTTTATTGTTACTATTTTCCTTATATATTATTTTGGCATTTTTAAAGTCAAATTGGTGTTTGTTGTATGTTGCATGTTGTGAAAGGCCGGTTGATGTGTTTGATTTGGACTTACAATTTAGTTCATGTTGTTTAATTCTTTATGCGAACCATTGTCCCGTTTGTCCTACATATGATTTATTAGTACAATTTTTACAATTTATTTTATAAATAAGGTTACTTTTCATGTCATATGGTATAATATTTTTGGTATTAGTATACAATTTTTCAATTTTATTTACTGCCTTTTTACCTAATTTAATTTCAGATAGATCATAATCCCTGAACGTCCTTTGAATTTTACTAGTTAGATCTTCAATATAAGTTATTGAATGATATGTTACATTGTTCAATTTTATTTTCAAATTGTATGGCACTACGTAACCTTTGAGATTGTTTTTCAAGGTTATTAGATATTTCCAAATTATTATTTTTAAGTAATTTGTGATTAAATTCGTTTTTTTGTTTAAAATTTTACTTCGGTAGTTATTTTTGTTATGGTTTATTTTCTGCTATTTGTTATCATTATTAATATCACTCCGTTTCATTTTATGGTTTTTGTACCATATTTTATTTATAATTCTTTTGGTATAATTGGTACCATAATTATTCAGTAATATATTATGTATTTCAGTTTTTATTTTATTGATATGTATTTTATCTGTGATCATTTTTTGGTATCGTAAAGATTATTATTGGTTAATGCGGGATTTAGAAATTTGGATAATTTTCGGTGATGCTGTTTACGATACCAAAAATTCAATACAAGTTAAAGATAGTATTAAATTAATAAATAAAATCAATGAGGATGAAGAATTAGTAACTTATGACGTGGAGTCCCTTTTTACTAACGTCCCGCTAAAAGAAGTATATAAAATACTAGAAAAAGAATGGTCGGTAATAGAACCTCATACATCAGTTAAAAATAAGGCAATATTCCTTGAAGGAATAAGATTAAAAAGTGTATACTTTTTATCATAAAAAATGGAGGAAGAATATTAAAATTGAATTAATAATGACTGAAACCTATTAAACTTTCATTAAAAAGGAAAAATATTTATTACTATGTTGGAAAATAATTAATTACACCAAATTTTCTCAGGTATTATTTTCAAAATCTTTATTTTGATATATTAACGAAATACACAGCTATTCTTGTAGATATTTTTTATTAAATTTTTTCCTTTATTTAATTTTTTTTTTCAAATATATTGGTTTTCAAGGATCAAATTTTAACATTGATATTATTATACATAGAATAAAAGCAGTTGAACAAAAACTTCGATATATTTCTAAAACGTATCTATATTTCTGCAATAACACTGTAAAAAAGATGGAAAAGAGGGTTTACATTAAAGGGGCATTACATAACCTTGCAAGTTTTTATATTTGTATTAGATTTAACAGAAGCAATGAAATATTGTTTATCATCCAAAAATAATTATTCCTAGGAATTAGTAAAAATATAATAAGGATAGAAGGAAAATCAGTGTTGGAGGAATTACTAAATCTTTAATAAAAAATTAACATTTATTAAAACCACTATGGGTGTTTGTGCATAAGGGTATCAAGCAGGGAGAAAGCCTCAGCTCACTCTTATAATTTTATGGATGATGTAACGAAGGTGTGCTAGAGGGAAATGCCGAGAGCAGTGGAATGATATCAAAACCTCATGCTATTGCTGGCACAAGCATTTATGTTTCCAGACACCCTGCCTAAACTTCAGGTTGGATTAAATTAACGGAGTGAAGAGATGCATCTGTAGAAGACTGATAGGGCTCACCCTATTACAATGATTTTCCAAGGATCAAGAATACGTCCGAGTGAGGTTGTCACCTACCTCAGAGTCAGAATGGGAAGAAATTTCAACGTAACACCTCACTTGGACTATTTGAGAAGTAGGTTGACCGTAGCGCTTAATGGACTCAGTCGTATTGGGGGTGCATTTTGCTGCCTCAGATACCCAGCGACTAAGACCATTTATAAAGGTGTAGTTCTGGGTATTCTGAAGTACGCGTCTCCTGGTTGCTTTCTGAATCTCTCGCATCACCAGCATCATCATTCAATTCAGCGGACGGCTGTGTCACCAGAGTTTACAGGTCTCATTGTCTCATGAGGCAGTACAGGTTCTGGCAGGAGGTGTTCCTCTCGACCTTCTGTTGCAGGAAGACATGTAAAAGCATCAGATTTCAAGAGAAGGCTCGGCAGGTCTACCAGAGAATCTCTGTGGGAAGATTAATCAAGAACCAGTGAGATGGAATATAACCAGTGGAAAGATAATATAAGAGTACATCCTTGACGAATGGAACCAGCGATGGGTAACAACTCCGAAAGAAAGTACTCTGAGGAAATACTTTCACACCATCGTTTTCCGGTTTACAACAAAATGGATGGAATGGTCTCCACGCCTGGCTATTGGGTCTCCCAACTACTCACTGGACACGGGGGCTTTTGAGCAAAGCTTTTTCAATTTGGAAAGAATACCGACATCTGGTGCTCCAGTTGCGGAATCCCACAGACTGCCGAGCACATTGTCGTAGCATTTTCTGCCTCTGAAGCGCAGAGAGCAAAACTGCTGAGAGAAACCGGTCTCTACGTTTTGACAGAGAGATTTTCCTCAACTCATGAGTGCGGAAAACTATCCGCATTTTAAAAATTTCATTTCAAAATGGAAATCCATTATAGGCCCAACACATTTCTCTTTAGGAAGAAGAGGAGGTGCACCGCCTGGAAGGCCGCCGGACGTAGAAGCAGAAGAAGACCGTGAACAAACCTAAAGAAATGTAATCAAAATATGGACCCAGTAAATAACATTAAAATATTGTTTTCCTAGCAGCAATGCTGCGTTTGTTACGCAGAAATGCTTAACATCTCACTGCTACTAATCAGGCACGGCAGGTATGTCAATAAATAATAAAAAAAAAGATCACGATGGACTTAATCGAGTGAAAAGCTTAAGGTGTATACTCCCAAATGCGCACCATATTCAACAAGGAAATTATCAACCATACAAAGTTCCTATTATTTAAATTAGCATTTCTACAAGTTTTGCTCTTTAGAGGGGAGAGTTAGACTATTCTAGACCACCATGCATCAAAGTGACTGCAATAGAGATGAGTTTTCTGAGTAAGATAGTATTCGGGGAATGTCTGGGTTTCGCTTGTTGGAGAGGTAGTTGAGCTAAGCCAAATAAAATGGTTCTCCCATGGGTGATAAAAGGAAGATTAAATGGTTGATTGAAGTCAGATTAGAAGCATTTCCAAAAAGTATCATCTAGGCCGGCTGTGGAAGGTGTATACGGTTTACCTCACCAGGCTTAGGGATTAAGAGGCTGCTCTCTGACTGAAATGAACTATATGAAGAATGATCACGACAATTAGAGAAGTTGGACCGAGGCTAAACCTTCACGGCTAGTAACAACTTGGAGGTAGAGATGGAAGATTTTTATTGGGAAGGTTGGCAGTGAAGGTCTTATGGCGTAATAGTCTGGAAATGCCAAAGGTCTTAGGGTATTATTGGTACGCAATCAGTTGCTGATTCTGCTAGCAATCGAGCAAAAGAAAAAAAGTGAAGTACTTACTCACTCGCACTCACATTCATTCATTTATGGCACCCCTGGCGCATGCAGCGGTCCTTGGCCTGCTCAATTTCCTTTGCCCAGCGCACCTGATGGATATGCCATTTTTTCTCAAATCTTTTACGTTATCCATCCATCTTGCCTTCTAGCTTCTCATGATACAGCCTTCTCGCTGTCCTCGCTTCGACTATTTTCAGAACATGTCCTAACCATTTCATTCGCTGAACTCGAGCGAATTGGGAGATAGGAAGATCGCCGTACATTGAGTATACCTCCTTGTTTGTTCTCAAATGGGGAATTCCTTTCTCCAATTTAGGTCCTATTATCCGTCTTAGGATTTTCCTTCCATTTCCTTTTATTCATTCAGCAGACGCCTTCGTTAGAGTCCATGTCTCGCATGCATATGTCAGAATTGGCCGAATAATCTTTTTGTATATCCTAAACTTCGTTGTACGACTTAACAACCTAAGTTTCAGAAGGCTCGCTAGAGAGAAGTACGCTCTGTTGGCAGCCATTATTCTAGCTCCTATCTCCTCCTCTTCTTCATTTCTATCGTTGATAATGGACCCGAGAGGTAAAGAGAAATCTTTGGGTGAGCACAGTACTTCCTGTCATGACATATGGTTATGAGACATGGGCAATTGACCAGAAGACTTGCCACAAATTGAGGATAACCGTCAGAGGAGTGGAGCGATATCTTCTGGGGATAACTCGAAGGGATAGAAAAACAAATAAATGGATCACAGCTAAGACTGACTTTGCAGATATCGTGGAAAAAGTGCTCATCAGGAAGTGGCCATGGACCGGACATGTAATCAGGAGGAATGAATTAACATGGACCAGTTTATGGATTGGTATCCAACAGAGCACGTGAGAAAGAGAGGACGCCCGCCGACCGACTGGGACAAGGAGATGAAGAAGACCTGCGGGGGAGCAGCCTGGAAGAGAGTAGCATTAGAGAGGAAAGAATGGAAAAGGATGGGACAGGTTCATTATCTAGTGTGGTTACAAGAAAGTTAAATATAAAAAAAAAAAAAGAATAAAGAAATCGAACTGAAAACCTCAACTAAGTTGAGTTTGTACATATAAGAGATTTTGTAAATTTGATCCATTGTTTTTTTCATTGTATGCACAAATAAAGGTTATTATTATTATTATTATTAATGGACCCGAGTTAGGTGGACTCGAATACAGCTTGGAAAATAATGTTTCCCAAGACATAGTGCTGTGGTGGATGGACGAACTTTTTCTTCCTTAAAACAAGAACGATGATTTTATTTTCATTGACGCCTAGCCCCATTTTTCCTGTCCCATTCTCCAACCTACTGAATGCACTCTTCACTGCTTGAAGTGATGGCCCTGCAATGACCACATCGTCATCATACGCGACCATTTGGGTCATTCTGTGGAATATTGTTTCTCCATTATTCAATCTTTCCCTTCTCATGATTGTCTCTAGGGCAATATTAAAGAGGAGTGGAGCTAATGAGTCACCTTGCCTAGGGCCCGAACAAACTGTAAAGGAGTCGCCAATTCTTCCTTTTAACTTAACTCTGTTGACGGTGATTTCCATCGTAGCCATCATTAAACGAATCAGCTTTGACCAATTGATACATTGCATAACAAAGCTCCTCTCTAACCTCCGTGTCGTACGCCGCCTTAAAATCAATGAAGATTATCCACATGGAGTTATTATACTCTTTCATTTTTTCCATGATCTATCTAAGGGCAAACATTTGATCGATTTGTCCTAAAACCACCCTGTTAATCTCCAAGCTGTCTCTCCGCGTATGGCACAATGCGATTATACAGAGCATTAGAGAGTACCTTATAAGCAGAATTAAATAAGCTGATACCTCTGTAATGTTTGCAGTCACTTGCATCTCCTTTTCTATTATGAACTGGGACAATGACGGACTCTTTCCATTCTTCCGGTAGTTTTTCTATTTCCCAAACATTTGCTGCTAATTGATTAATTTCCCCTAAATGGAGACTTTCCCCTGTTTGAAAAATTCTCCTGGGATCCTGTCTGTTCCTGCTGACTTATTGTTCCTTAGCTTCTCCAAAATATTTTCGATGTCGTCAGAATCAGGTGGCATGACTTCATCCATATCTGCTTATCTTATTGATTTCATGCTTCTGTGGGTTCCTATTTCTCCATCCGCAGGGTTGAGTACCTCCTGGAAGTGCTCTTTCCATCTTTTCTGTAACTCATTCTCCACAACAAGCAGCTTTATATTCTTATCACTTACCATACCTGACTCATTAATAGAACCAACTTTGGCGGTCTTTACGTCCTGAAATAACTTTCTTGTTCATGCCTAAGCCTTGAAAAATTTCAGAATGAGGGGCTAGAGGAAAACATGGGACACTCAGCAGCGAGTGTAATCGTGTATGATATATGATTTTTCTAATTATACATTCCCTTTCTCTGTTTATAAGTAAAATGAGCAATGAAATATCTTGGAGGAGATCAACACCATTGCTTCCAACAATTTTTTAACTATTTACTGATAAGCTAAAAAGAAAACGAGGTTGAATGATTTTCCTACTTTTGATATCAGACTATTTGAGGAGGTAGAAACAGAGTACATAAAAAACAGTGTTGTGAACTCAACAGGACAGAGGGACATCAGAGCCCCTATAACGGCTCTGACTGCGCTGGGACAGCTCTAATCTAGGTCCTCTGTTGCACATCTTTTGGAACTCTTCTGCTTTCAATTTCGGCCACGAATGAGTTTTTTTTTTGTGGTTTCTTTCACTTTTATTTTTTAAATAATACTGAAGGCAAGCATTGAGCATTGTTTTCTTCATCAGATTCGGAATCGAGGTCGCGTAACAGTAGCTCAGCCCATCGGAACTAGAACTAGGGGTGTTTTCGGAAATTCAGCAATCACTCAATATATACGGGCCTCATATCTACGAGTTTTGTTTATCAGAAAATACTAAAATGCGAAAAAGTTTCACATTTGCAGATTGAATATTTGATAATTTGTAATTTAATAAAATAATAAAATCCAGTGCATACTGAATATGTATCTCGCTACTGTTAGTGCAAATCACGTATACAGAAATTGAGTGTATTACAGGAGAGCATAAAATCTAACTATTTCTTTATGATTTATTAATATAATTTCATATTTTATTGCCCTCTGCTATTTGTCATAGTAGTAGACTACTTATTTCAATTGCAGACTACATAATGTCAAAAATAGAATAAAAATTGAAAACTTTTACATACGACCTTTGCAATAACATATATAATATGTTTTCACTCGTAAAATGGATGGAACAAAAAATCCATAGCAAAAATTCAACTTTTGTCCGTTTAGGGCTATACGGGGTTTCAAGGCACCGGGGCGCGAACTCGTGACTATTTTTATCCAGTTATCTTATGTATCAGATTGCCGGGCAACGACGCTGTGCATACACGTTAGCCTGTTCAGCCACCCCGCCCCCCTAAACGATATCATTCTTTAAAATAATTGTTTACACAAATGTTTCGATAATGTATCTGTTTTTAATGTTTTACACTATAAAAATACACACAAATACATTGCCCATCATGTCCATAGATCATACTCCCTACCATCGGCTTGCGCAGAACCCCTCCCTCGAAAAGCAGAGTGGATAGACTCCAGTCTGCCTCGGAGCGGACACTAAGCTGGTCATGCGCGTCCTACTTATGGCAATACTCCTGGCAGGGGCGTCATCATCTACTTACCAGACATCTGAACAACTGTGAGTATCAATAATATAATAACCGGTGATACTACAATAATATCATTACACACACATATTTATATAAATAATTACATTTTGTTTATCTTTTCCAAATATGATAATACGGTTACAAAGAAATTTAGTAAATTCTTAGTGTAAAAATAGTGTAAAAATATTTATATATATATCTAATATTACATATTAGTGTAAAAATTTAAATAATAAAGAACAACACGACAATAAAATAAACAAAATGATTTTAGTTTTTACTTCCATACTTCAGTTCTACTTCCAACTTAAACTTTTGCCACAACCTCTATAGTTGTCAAAGTCCAATTTGTTAATAAATATAATGAAGTTTTTGTTTTAAGATTACATGCTTGATTAAAATTTCCTGTTAAATACTCTGTATTGTATCCTTGCTTAAGTATTATTTAACCAATTGTGGTTGAATTTTAATTGTTTATTCATTTGTTCGTAATTCAGAATAGGCATAATTTATTAGCTGTATGTTCAAATTATTACAGGTTTTTCGAAAACGGTTCCAATAGTTTTTACTAAACTTCTTATATTAATGTAAATTAAAATATGCAGTAATCATATTAAAATAGTACAGGGCTTAAATACCTAATTTTAATCTCTTTTTTCTCTAAAGTACTTATATAATTTTGTTTATTGTTTATAAAATTTTGTAGTTAATGATTCATTATATTATATTTTTGAATATAAAATAGAAATAGAAATAGAAAGTAAAATTTATTCTGGGTCCCCTTAGAATAACAATAATGAACAGTTACAAAAGAAAAAAATACATATCTGGCCAAAAACTAACTTAACAAAGATTCAAACAATATATACAACAACTTAAATTTTTTTTTTTAAATAAGATCTTTAAGATAAGTAAAAATAAAATAAGATCTTCTCAACTATACTTACAATTTTACTGGAAAAAATAACAAAAAGAAAAAAAAAAAAAAGAATTACATGTATTGAAAGGAAAAGCAAAACCTCCAGAAAAGAAAAAATATCCAAAGTACGTAATTAAAAAAAATTGACTTATGTTAAAACCCAAACAGCTAAAGCATACAAAATATATAAATATATTAATGAAAGAAGATGAGCAACGCGATCTTTCTTTCCAGTATTCCAGAGCAAGGAATACATCTTTCCAGAAAAAATAAACAGAATTTCCTCAAAGACTAAATGGAAACTATTTCTTTTTTTTGTTTCAGCTAGATCCATACAAAATAAATAATGTAAAATATTTTTGTATTTTTATTAATTAAATTAAAATAAATTTAGAGTGAATTCACTTATATAAAATTAATTTCCATTTAAAAAAGAGTTGATTGTGGAATTTGTGTGTTGCCTGATATTCTTTTATTTTGTTACAAGAATAACAATGCTATATATTATTTCTAAAAGGTGTTTTTATGTCGGTACGCCATAATTTCGTCAATTCTTCATCAAATCCAATGATTGACCACTCATTTTGAAGATATTCTTCTCCTTCACATGCGAAAAATAGTCCCATCCCCTCGAAATTTCTAGGAAAAAATTATGGAATGAAAAGAAACTTTATTTGCGAATAACTCAAAAAGTGTGCATTTTTTTTCTGGATTGTATCCATGTTAATTAGAAAGATTACTAAATTACCTACAAAAAAAAAAAAAATTCGGACAATTATTGACAAAGATATAGTCCATTAGTTTCGGTATAATGTCTAATATAATAATGTCTTCCTGTTTAAAGATATTGCATTTAAGAGTAGAATAGTCTACTACATTTTTTTTTTCCTGGCTTTTATATTTACTTTTTCATTTCTTAAAGACATTTGGTTGTTCTTACATTTTATTTTTTTTAATAATTTAGAATATCCTATGATCGGGACATTATTTTGTCTTTATTACTTTTATTATCTTTCCAGTCAGCGTTTAAAAATAGGTCTCAGCAAAGCAATTTGTATAAACATTTTAGTCTATTATGTTTAATGGAATATTGTAATTGACCAACGAAAAAATATTAATTCCTTCCTTACATAATACATAGGAACTACTTATTTCCATATTGTTTTACTATTTCTTCACTAAACAAAATTGTCTGCGAATTTTTCGCAATGAACATTAAATTTCAGGACTTTATATGTAAGCTATTTTTTTTTCTATAATGTATATGTTTCCGACAGTATATTATAAATCTATATTGGTGGTGTATTGGTGGGAATGAGCTGGTTCCTGGCTCCACGTATAAAGGCTACTGTAACAACTGGGTACACTTCATTTCAAACAGATGATAATGTTATTGTTTTTATTAAAAACTGTTAGGGTTTTTTTATTTATTAATTTTTAGTTAATTTATAATGTTTTTAATTATAGGATCAAAAAGGAATCTATCCCATTTCCCAAATGGTCAAGGTACATCAGTACACTCTGACTTCCGGATAATTGTCGAAATGAAATTCATAGTTTATAGTTATTCATTTTTATTATTACTAATAGCAGGAAAAGACTCTTAATTATTAGAAATAAACAATATTTAAGATATATATTTAGGATTACAGGTATATAATTTTTAACCTGGTTTTTTTTTTTCCCATATTCTGTCCCTTTTGCTTTTCCTTTCTCTGTCCATTTCTTACCTTCTTGCTTCTTCTTCTCCACTACAAGAACCTTTATGTTTGTCGCTATTTTTTTATTTTACATAGATTAAGTGAATTTAATCGATATCTTTAGTCATTTTCGAGGAAATTGAAAAATAAAGTAGCATTTAGGGCAAACCGATTTTAGCGAATAAGTTGATATAACATCGCAGGCATATAAGTAATTTCTTTTTCCTACAACCTTTCATTTTTCGAGCTGGAGGTTTCTCATAAACATAAAAAAAAAACATGCACACGCGCATATACATGCAGAAGAGGACTACGTGCATGTATGTGCGTTTTTATACAACAATGCGTTTTCAATTTCACTTTCATACCACTTTTCGTTTTTGAGCTAGAATGTTCACATACACAAACAAATCATTTTATGAGACTTGATTATTTAGACTCAGGACCTTAAAAAGTGTATTTCCATTGAAAACTATTTCAACGTTATGTAAAATAAAAAAAAATTATGGAAGTTCTTTTTAAAAGTATGCTCTGTGATTTTGTAATAAATTAGCCTTTAAACAAAATTCAGAAAAAATGTCTTTTTTATTATTATTATTTTAAAGTGTAATTATACAGTTTAAGGTCGACACTTGTCAGCCGGTAGTAACCGGAAAGGTTTTGTCTCAATTGGTTTTAGTGAGGAACCCACATCAAGTGTCACATATCATAATTGTCCTATGGCACGCCATGTGTCGTGGAATCGCTTTATATATGGAATATTTTTTTAATAACGGTGTAGGATATATTGTGTCAAGCCGTGTAATATATCCTATCCAGACAAATAAAAGAAAATAAATTCATTAGTATTCACAGTTTTACGTAACTAATTTTAATTACTGGCGACGATTATCTCCATTCTTGGGTTCTCCCAATAGTCATAACAACCATATCAGTCAGCCATTGCCGAGATCGTGAATTAAAACCTAGAAAATATAGTAATTGGGCATAAAGGATGAACTCGAATTGGGTCACGGAATATTTGATGAGGGAGTGTTGATCTGGAATTGGGTCCCGAGTATTCTTTCCAAATATTCCCGTCACCCAATGGGAGAAAAGGCGCAAAGGCATCATTTTCCCCAAATATTTCTCTGTATTCAGTGGGAAGGTTGAGATTCATTTCGTGGGTCGGCCAAGAAATAAATTTGAACCCGCCAAAATTCGTACCTGTGCACACTGGGGCGAACTTGAGGTTTCGTGGACATCGGCTCTAACTTACACGGAAATTTCATTGCACAGTTCAAATTTTGTCTTTTTATGTATTTGATGGTATCAAATTAGAATTAAAGGCATTTAGTCGATCAGA